CCAGAGAGGGCTTTTCCAACCTCAGCAATTCCAAGATTCCAGCAAAAAACAAGGACTTCACCTGGAACCCCGAGACTCCCTCAAGCCCCTGTTTTTTTTTTTTTGGGGAGGATCCCACTTTTTTTTTTTTTTTTGGGAGGCACCAACACAAGAGCCTGGTCTTTAAAAGGTCTGTTTTTATTCCCAAAACACGGATAGGACGTTCCAGAAGGAACAAGGACGGGGCGGGTGGGACACGGAGCAGCTCCCCGGGGAGATCACTCGAAGCCACTGCCAAAAAAAAAGGGATGGGGAAGGTCGGGCCGATCCCCCTGGATGTTCCCCTGGGATCAGGGGACATTCCTGCCGCTGGGAATGTCACCTGGGAGCAGTTACCTGACCACGTGGGCGATGTCCCAGTTGGCTTCCAGGGTCAGGGGACCCTCCACCTGCACCCCCTTCTCCGTGACGGTGGCGAGTTCATACTGGGGAGAGAGAACCTTGGAATTCCAGCCCCTGGAGCCAGGCGGGCCTGGAATTCCAGCCCTGGAGCCAGGTGGGCCCTGGGGGACGCCCCCATTGACGAGACTGTCCCCAAAAATGGGTTGATGGGGTGAGTCAAGGGGGAGAAGGGACGGTGGGAAACGATTCCCAGGGGAAAGGATTGGAGCCTCTGGATGCCACAGCTGCAGGGACAGGGATTGTCCAAAGAAAACGCCCAAACTGGGATCCCAAACAGCTGGAACGACTCCCAGGGGGAAAAGACTGGAGCCACAGCTGCAGGGATGGGACAGTTATCCAAGGAAACCTCCAAAGGGCGATCCCGACCTGCTGGAGCTCAGGATCTCCCCCTCTTTTCCTGGGATCAGGGAGGTGTGTCCAGGAGGAGGGATTCCTGGGATTCTGGGATCAGGGAGGTGTGTCCAGGAGGAGGGATTCCTGGGATTGTGGGATCAGGGAGGAAGGACACTGACCCTGTTGAAGGACCTGGCGTCCCTGTAGTAGAGGATCCGCAGGCAGCGCTCCAGGAGATCCCGGGCCTCGTCCTGGGACAGGCTCTGCTTCTTCTCCAGGACCTCCCTCATCAGGGGCTGGGGAAGGGGGAGAGGAGAAGGAATAAAATAAAATAAAAAGTGCCAGAATAAACGACAGAACACCACGAAATAAACTGAACTCAAAGCCCGGCCCCACCTGAGCCAGGTAGGCCCCGAACCCCGTGGCCAACGTCGGCGCCTCGTAGGCCACTCCCAGCATGTCCACGTATCCCAGGAACCTGAGGGCACAGGGAAGAGGAGGCTGGGAGAGCTCAGGGGAGGGCAGAGCATTCCCTGGCTCCCCCCCTGGCAGAGCTCACCCCTGGCCGCCAGAGAAGCCGCCGATGACCACGGTGTTCCACAGGGGGTTGATCTTGGAGCGCCGGTTGTACATCACCCTGGTGAGCCACGAGTGGATGGCCCGCGGGCTGTAGGTGTGGCCGTCCCCCAGCAGCTCCTCGTCGATCCTGAACCCCGGGAAAAAAAAAAACCCCAAAAACCACCGGAGGAGAATGTGACCCCCAAAACCTGAGGAATGAGACCCCAAAAACCTGAGGAATGAGACCCCAAGAACCTGAGGAATGAGACCCCAAAAAACCTGAGGAACATGATCCCAAAAACCTGAGGAACATGATCCCAAAAACCTGAGGAATGAGACCCCAAACACCTGAGGAATGAGACCGCAAAAAACCTGAGGAACGTGACCCCAAAAACCTGAGGAATGTGACCCCAGAAACCTGAGGAATGTGACCCAAAGAACCTGGGGAATGAGACCCCAAAAACCTGAGGAACATGATCCCAAAAATCTGAGGAATGAGACCCCAAAATCTCGAGGATTGTGACCCTAAAAACCCGAGGATTGTGGATCCCAAAAACCCAAGGAACGTGACCCCAAAAACCCGAGGAACGTGACCCCCAAAAAACCCGAGGACTGTGACCCCCAAGCCCCCCGGGGCTGAGGTGGGGACGGGCCACAGGAGTGGGGCTTTCCCAACCTCCCCCAAACCCGCCAAGACGACCCCAAATCCCTCCTTTTTTTTTTTGTTGTTTCCCCCTGAGCCGCAGCAGCAGCAGCAGCAGCATCACTTACACCATCTGGTCGATGACCTGCCGCAGGTACTGGAAGTCGGCGTAGTCCCCCGAGGCGCCCAGGACGGTGCTGTCGTTGACCCTGAGGATGCGGGAGATGCCCCGGAACCGCGCCAGGGAGCCGTACGAGCCCACCGTGTCGGCGGCCAACATCACCCCCCCCTCGAACTTCACCCCCAGCACCGACGTGCCCGTCACCATCGGGGTCCTGGGGGGGGGAAAACAGAGAGAGAGAAAAGGGGGTGAGCCCACGCAGAGCCCCCCTCCTTGTGCTTCCCCCGCTGTCCCACAGCTCCCCCCAGCCAGCCCTGATCCCAGTTT